AAAGAATGATGTCCAGTGATTGCTCTTTTCATCTATATCAATTCTAAGATTTTCCAAGGTTCACAAGTGTCTCATTTTTTACTAGGATTTTGGGATGTCCAAGTTCAGTGTAGTCGGTTCCTACCTCATATTGCCATAATGGTGGCATCCTGCCACTATCAGCATTTTTTGTGCACAAAGGTCAGCATTTTCTCTTCACCTCCATTTCCTAGCTCTGTTCACACACCATTTCATGGACGACTGGTCATTGCTGGTACAATCTCATCAATTGTCCAAACATCACATCCGGATTCTACTTTCAGAAACAACCAAGGCAGGTTTCATTCTCAAAGCTGAGACATCTATTCTTACTCCATCTCAATATGTTTTCAGTCTAGGTATTTATTTCAATATGTATCTCAATTGGGTTCAGCCTGACTCCCATCTGATTCCATGCTATGGAACATGAAGCCCAGCTCTTCCTCACCACTCTTTCTTCCACTGTATGGATGGTTCTTTCTTTTTTGGGAATGTGGGCATCACTCAAATCCCTCATGCCTTTGGAATGAGTGAACAAACGATCCTTTCTGTGGTCTTTATGTGACCAGGGAATTATAAACTTTGATTCACAGGATTCCCCAATTTCCTTATTCAGGATCATTCTTTTATGTCGAGGGGTTGTTAGATCAGGATAATACTAAGATATGGGTTCCTCTGCTGCCACCTCGTCCAGAGATCCATCTCTACACAAATGCCTTGCTTCAAGGATGGGGTGAATATCTCAGCAGTCAGGAATTCCAGGGTCTATGCTTAGGCAATGAGGTTTCCCTACATACTGTTTTAGATCTTCTTGCTCTTCTCATGGCCCTATAATTCCAACCCCCAGTGGTGGAACTTCAGCCAACTGGTTGGGGCTTGGTGAATAGTGATAATAAATCATGTAAAATTCCACCCACAGTACATGAATTAAGTTCCAGGTGAAGAGCATACCTGTTCTGGATGTAGTGTGGTTTCCCCCACTAGGTTGCCAAACTTCTATTGACACACAATTGATCTATGCAGTTGCTTTCTGTATGGATAATGCCCTCACTGGCATTCTGTCTGTAGTAAGTATGTTTTGGTAGTTAACATTTTCTTAAATCAAAAATGTATTTCCAATAATACCTTCTCTCACACCCTCCCGATCTTCCTCCCCATTAAGAACCGGTGTTAGAGACTGCAGATTGAGTCAGTGTCAAAAAAGTGATAACATTATCTGAATGAGGTGCTTATATTACAGTACCAAGTTAGAGGGTATATTGACTTAGGTGGAGAGTGTCATGAGATAGATATCGACAATGGCAATTAAGTGGAGAATAAAAGACTGGAGCAAGCGAGAAAATATCAGAACAATGCTTAGATGGGCAAAGGAAGAAACAGTGGCAGTCGAGTAATAGCTGTAGTGTGAGGGCAGGTAAGTATTAATGGAAATACATTTTCAATTTAAGAAAATATTAACTTATATGACTATTTTACAATTGGAAATTCTGTTTCTATTTCTTTTTCCAGTGAGGGAGCAGGAAATGTAGGGATTTTATTCTTCTTGTTAAACCAAGATAGCTAGCTTAGTCTGCTGTGTCATCATTAGCTGATCAAGCAATGCATACACTTCCATCCCTATCTTGTTCTTTTTTTTCAAGTTTCTTATTGCTTTACTACAAGTGTCCATGCCATTTCTTCATAGAGAGTGCTTGTGCACTCTCTAACAAATTTTCTTTTTAAAGATATGTTTTTGTAGCAATATGGTAAGTACCATTTTCACCTGATGGTAATTATTACTTGCATCACTGCTTGTTTATAATCTTCCCTGAAAGTTTGAGGTTTTATGGTTTAAAAATATGGCCATCTTACATTTTCTACTTGATAAAGGAATAAAATCTTTGTGTTAATATTTCTTTAACAGAATGCATTCATGACAAAAGTTTTATAATTTTAAGATTTTCATATAGGAATTATTTGTAAGTAATATTTTTATGATACTGATTGATGAGTTCTTTAACAGAATGCATTCATGATAAAATTTTACAGTTTTAATATTGTCATAAAGGAATTATTTGTAGATAATATTTAGATGATACTGATTGGTGGATTCTTATGAAATATTTGGTAAAAAGAAGGATGCAGTGTCCATTCTACTTGAAGATAAAAAATCATTTTATTTCGTTGACTACAAGTTTTATAGTTTTATTTAACTAATCTAATGTTCGCCACTAACAGAAATTCCACTGGCTGATTTTCTTAATTGTTCGTACAGTAGGATGGCCCTTATTTTTGAAGTTTTTGTTTCCAACACTCTCATTCTCTCATTTTGTTCCAATGTATGAATAATTCAAACCAAATTTTATTCATATTGAATAACATTTAGAAGTTGCTCAATATAGTTAATTTTTTGTTGTAGCTTGCATATATCTGCATATTCTGAATTTTCTAGAATGTTTTAGAATATTCTAAATAATTCTAGAAGTTGTATATTATTCTGAAATGTGCTAGTGTATTATAATGGATAATATGTTCTGGAATATTCCATCCTTTTCCACATTTTTCAGAACGTTAAAGAACATTCCATAAGTAAATAATCCATGCTGTCACTTTTTACTTCTGACATATTCTGTATGACATGACAGTAGTTTCTCAAATTTCTGTGAGGGTATATAAGCATTTAAGCAAATTCTTCTAATCATTTCAGCTGACACTGTATCAGTGTATCATTGCAAATGGATACTGCCACAAGTAGTAAGACTATACCATTGCTGCTTGGTTCAGTTACCTTAAAATGCTAAGTGCTGTGTGTGTGTTTTTGTACCCTCACAAAACATTAAAGAAGATGGTTTGTGAAAATTCAAACATTGTGATAAAGGAGGCTTCAAGCTTTTCGGAACAAGGCTCAAATTCAAGTTTGTCCAGAAGATTATGACGTTATCAAACTGGAAAAACATTTTGAAAAATGGGCAAAGCTAAAACAAAAAACTGAAACATATCCTGCTAATAAAGAAAACTTTGTTAGTAATCTGGCTGAGTTTTTTGACATCACTCATTGGGGTGCCCTGGCCCTGATCAGAGGGAAATAGGACTTTGTGGATACATGGGTCAGATAGATAAGGTTCTTTAAAGGAATCAAGAAAAGAAGTGAGACAAGTATTGACAGGAAATGGCATGCAGATCAAGAACAGCAGACCTTGAATGAAACTGTTGGTTGTTAGGAATCATCTCACAGCAGTGATGATGAGGTTGGTGGATACAGTACCAATAACAGTGATGAGAATAGAGGAAATTGGAGAATCATCATTTTCTAAACCTGCAATGAGGGCAAGTAAAATATGATAATTCTCGACTTAGCAGTAGCTATGGCCAGAACCAAGTTGAGTGACAGAAAGGCAACATTTGCCCTAACTGCCACAGCTCTCAGTTTTGGTCTTAGTGTGTAGGAACTAATCACCAATTGTTTCCTGATTCAACAATCTTGATGTTGCTTCTGTGAAGAATTTATCAAATACTAAAAGAAAAAGTTGCACTCAACAATCTCATTTGTAGTTCCCTGGGATAGTAATCTCCTTAATGATGTTTCAACAAGTGGATTGTCTGCCAATGGTCTTGTCTGGAGCAGGACTAAACAAACTCCCACTGCTGTGATGCATTTGCTGGAAGAGTGGGGAATCATTGGCAGTTGACATTAACACAACAGGAAGCAACACTGGCCACAGAAATGAAGCATTTGTGTTATTAGAACAAAGATTAAACAAATATCTTCTGTATTTGGCATGCCAGCATTATGTCTTAGAACTCATCCTGGCATGTGTTTTCAAAAACTGTATGGGGCTTTCCTCTGGTCCATATATTGCAAGATTCAGTTGATTCCAGCAAACTTGAGAATACAGGGACCAATCCAGTTGTGAACTTGCAGCTGACTATGATGGAGTAGAAGAAGCCATAGAGGAAGTTGAAGGCAGTGTTATTGAATTTACTAGAAGACAACTTCAAGTCAGCTAACATAGAGATGATTATTGAAAGCTTCTTGAACTACCCATAACCTTTCTTCTTGGCATCCCTCCATGTAGAATGTTATTTGCATCACCTGGAACACATCATCATGCATGATGGATGGCCAAAGCATTATATGCCTTCAAGATCTCGATACTTGTGGGACAATTTTTTGCTCACTGGCCATGGGGAAAGAAATTTCTGTGATGTCTGCATCTTTGTTGTTTGAGTCTATCTTAGAGCATGGTTCATGGCTCCTGATGCCATTTCTGCTCTTTGCAAGGATCTTAACATCCTACAGTGTCTTGTTAAATATAATAAGGTGAATTATTACCATTGATGTTTGCAGGTTGTGATAAAATAAGTTGTTTTTTCATTGATTCATAGTTTTGATTCAATGGGAAAAAAACTGTTATTTTAGCACAGTCTGCAAACATCAATGATAGTAATATCTGTGAATTTATTGGGATAATTAAATGTAATAAAAACACTGTTAAAGTATTAAATAAAGACCAGAGGGAAATGTTGTTAATAAATGGTGTTAAATTCTTTGAGCTAAATTATACATAAATTTGATCATTTAATTTTTGAAACTGTATATAGGTCTTATCTCATGCAAAATATTGCACTCCTGAAGATGATACAGTAAGATGTCAAAACGTAAACTGTATGAAGTTGTTCCCAGTCTATCAGTATTTTGTTTTATTTTTAGATAATAAAATTATTCAAAAAAATTTTTTATTATATTCTGAGACTGGAGACAGTTTCATTTTAAATATTTATTGTGTACTATTAACTGTTGGATTTAATTCTTTAATACATCTATGTGAAAATTTATAGAAGTGTCCTCTGTATTTTAATATAATTTAATATAACCTCCATAAAATTCAGAGTGGTTTAATTTCATCTACATTGATTTTGTCTATTTCAATTTGACCTGCTGAAATATTTAATACTTTCAAATACTTTATTGAAAATATTTAAAACATGTCTTAAAATTGCAGCCACTTTTCAGAGCCTTAAACAAATACAGGAGAAGAACACTCAGCTTAGTATAGAGACTGACAAGATTTTTGAACAGAAAGATAGCTTCAGAAATCTACAAAAGGAACTTGCCTGTCTTGAAGAAGAAAACTTAAGATTGAAGCAGCAGTTTACAAGTATTTGTGAAATGGTTAGTATTATATCTAAATCATGTACAGTAGTTTATGATATATGTTTGGAAATATTAATATTTAGAAGGCAATAAATATTTATTGTGCAGGCAGTGTTATTTAGAACCAAGAAATTTTTATGATTTATGGGTGATTTTTAGGAAGTTTATAAGATTGGACTTTGGAACAATGAACTTTGTTTCAATCCCAAAGTAATCATTGTATAAATTCAGGTGTTTTCACATTAAGATAATCATTGATTTAAATATAGGAATTATGCAAGGAAATATTCTTAATTGCACCTGTTTAAGAGTTCATATATGCTTCTTATGATAAATGACATGGCATTATAGTTTTAGTAGGTGTGTATCTGCCATATCGTGACTGATTAATCCAAACTGTTATTCTTTTGTAAGAATGAACTATTATTGCAAACACACATTTGAGTACAGGGTAGCCATTCTCCCACTAAACAATAACTCTGCAGAGAACATCCCCATGTAACATGTACTGCTGCCTAGTGGTCATTTCTATAAATTAAATTTGTAGCTTTCCCACCCTTTAAGGTATCACTTCTGCTTCAGTTCTTTGTATAGTGAATATCAGGGTGGGCTACCTTCTCTTCCCAGTGAGAATGGGTTGCATTTTTATCCATCAGAAAAATAAATCACAACACTATTCATTATTTTTCAAATATGTTGTTGATCCTTCTGGTTTTGCAAAGAACTATATGCAGGTGATGAAATGCCAGGCAGTGTTGAGTACAGTTCATTGAAATCTGGTGCTGTATGAAATTAAACATAAAATACTCTCTATAAAATAATTATTGCTAAAAAAAACCATAATTTATATAGCCTTCAATTTTGTTTGGTTACAGAGCTATCGAGTAGAAAATCAGACCCCTCCTGCCACACCCACTTGTCACATCTTCTCTTTTACAATTCGTTGATAGTTCTCTCTTACGTTTCATTATATATTACCTATAACCAATAGAAAGTCAAGGTTTTTCATCTATCAAATAGTGTATTTTATAATGCTGTGTTCTGAACAGATAGCCATAATTTTAATTGGAGTAGCAACATCGTTCCTGTGGGAAAGTTAACGACTAGCTTGAATGAATTAGTAACGGCTTTTGTCGCATAGTTAGAAAGCCAGGAAAATTTTTAGAAGTAAGTGAATTTGTCTACGTTTTGCGTGTTATTAGTCTATACTCTTTGGTGTATTATTTAAGTAAATAAAAATTGTT